CTCGGAGAGTTGGCCCATCCTTACTATCGTGGTTGACTGTAGGGGGGCGGTGGGTCTCATTGCGGGGGCCATGACATATCCCCAGAATTCGTGGCGCCTCGTCTTGTTTCAGCAAGTCCCTGGCCCCCCCCCCCGGCCTAAAGGGCCGCGCACATGCCGCCGGCCACGATTTGCGCCCCCCCCCATCTTGGACGCCCCCCTCCTGGCCGCCCCCGAGACGGCGTTTTCCGACGACACGGCCTTGTCAACCCGCGGCCTTCCTTCGATCTCGGCCTTAATCAGGGTCAACGACGGGGGGGGACAGGCACAGGGGGGATGCCTCGACCCCCAAGTCGCCGATTCATCGCCGATGGGGGCCCGATGTAGCCCCAGCCTGCCCAGGAAGGTGCCGATGCAAGATCGGAGGCCTATCGCCGATCTATCGGCGATGCATCGCCGATTCCAGCTCGATGTATCCCCCCCTATGCCAGTCCCCCCTTATCGTTGCCCCTCACCTCAGGGGTCGGTGCCTGGTCCCAGGGCCATCAAACATGGATGCCGGACAGGACATTGCCTCCGCAGAAGCGGCCGGGCTTGTCAGGGCCGCAGAGGAAACAAAACCACATCGGCGGATGTCAGGGCATCCAGACCTCTAGCGATATGGCGAAGAAGTTGGGATAAGGAGCATTTCGGGTTCGGAAGTGGCTGGCTGTTCCTGAGGTCTTCCAACGGCTGTTCCTCTCCAGCTCGCCTCGTGCACCCGGCGCGCGTTTCGGGCCACAGAGGGATCGCGTTCTTTGTGTCAGCGTTTCTTGCGGTAGTAGCTTGGCTGCATGCCTTTCAACTGCCCGGGGCGTGGTACTCGATTTCGGCCCCCAGGCCCCAGGGCCCTCGAATGCGGACCTGGGACGCAGCGCCATCCTGGGAGGAGGGGTCGGGAGCCCTGGGGCCACGCATTGAACAAATCACACCGGCGGAGGAGGAGGAGGAGGAGGAGGAGGAGGAGAAGGAGGAGGAGGAGGGGGCAGGAGGAGGGGGGGGCAGGAAGGAGGAGGAGGAGGAGGAGGAGGAGGAGGAGGAGGAGGGGGCAGGAGGAGGAGGAGGAGGAGGGGGGGGCAGGAGGAGGAGGAGGAGGAGACCTGTGCAACCTGTGCCGCAGCTCGAATTATTCTGGATCTCTCTTGGGGGCGCCTGGACCCCCTTGGCCGCCCTCGTGACCACGGTTAGAGGCCCCGCGAAGTTCTGATCGAACAAACACCCTTGGACGGGTCCTCGCACACAGCAAGTCGCTGTTACTCCGGATCTCTTAATAATCGTCCCCCTGGTCTGGTTTATTGAGGCGCATTTTGGGGAGGCAGGGGGGCCCGGTTTATTGAGGCGTTTTCGTGAAGCCGACGTTCAGGGGGGTCCGATTTATTAGGGCGCCTTTCGCGCATGCAATCTCACACCACTCTTACGCACCATGGCTTTTACAACCATATGGGTTTTCGACACACGTGGGGTTCCTCGCACTTTCTGGCTTGCTTTGTTTGGGGTCGGGCCTTAATCGCTCCTGGGGTTCCGTGCGCCTCGCAAAAAACTCTGCGGGGGAACATGGATACTAGCCCTTGTGCCCATCACGTTATTCAACAATGTGGTCCAACCTCCACGTTGGCAACAGCGTCCATTTAAGGTCACCGTTATCCCCGAGGTTGCCACCGTCATGAACGATCGCGCTCGCAATGTTGTTTGTTGGGCTGGGGGTGTCCGGAATATTAAGGCGCCATCTGCGGAGAGGGGATCCAGAAACTTATGTCGCGAAGTAAGGGAGTCCCGTTTTTTAGGGGGGATCCAAAGGAACCCCCCTCAACCTGCGCACCGCAGCCGCCGTTACCGTCACTCCCGCCTCACAAGAACTCGCCACGGGATTGGCGCAGGGTGGGAGAATCGACCCCCAATCGCCAATCAATCGTCAATGGATGAATGCCCCCCCCCCACCCCGCCCAGAAACGTGCGGTTTTGCGATCTAGGGCCGGTCGTCGGCAATGTATCGCTGATTCCAGGTCCGTGTCTCCCCAAACCATGCGAACTTACTCGTGGTGATACAAGTGTGCTGTTCACTAGGATACAGATAAGGAGTGGCGGGCCACTGACACGGGAAAAGCGGTCATGCGTAAACGGGCGCGGAGTTACGATCCAGAAACGTGTGGTAGCGACGTGATGCGAATGCTGATGATCCGTTGGCAAAGAAGAATGTGCAGTGAGAAACTGCATGCATACTGGCACTGTGGATGTGCAAGCTAGGTGTAAGCTTGGCTCTTGCGAAGACACAGTGGGCAGCCGCGGGGCACCCCCGGCAGGCGGCAGCGGACTGCCACGGGCGGCAACGGCCCTGACCGTGGGGTTAGGCCCGTGGGCACCCCGCAGGCGGCAGCGGGCGGCAGCTGGCCGGAGCGCTGCGGATCCTCGGGGCCCCCACAGGCGGAAAAATTCGGGGGTGGATAGACCTCCTACCCTCAGAGCCCCGAATCATCAGGGGTAACTCGGGTCAGGGCTAACTCGGGTTCGTTTTTCGGGATTCCGAACCCGACTTACCCCGGACCCGACTTACCCCGGATAATTCGGGCGTCCAGAGCCCCGATTCATCAGGGGTAACTCGGGTCAGGGCTAACTCGGGTTGATTTTTCGGGATTCCGAACCCGACTTACCCCGGACCCGAGTTACCCCGGATAGTTCGGGCATCCAATACCCTGACACGTCGATTAAGGAATTGGCCGTTTTCGGTTCGCGAGAGGGCGTCGCGGCAGCCATTTTTGCGGGTCCAGGTCCGTGGGTTTCGGTCCCAGGCCGTTTTTACGAAGGGGAGGTTTACGAAAGGGAGGTTTGTCCACCGCCGAAAAACGAGCGGCAATGGGGTGGCAACGAGCCAGAGCGTGACGAATCCCCGGGACGCCCAACCAATTTCTCAGAAGCGCCGAGAAATAACCCCTGGGTGTAAGCACGGTTCTAGGAATGACAAGGAGGGCGGGTTCGGGACGAAGGCGTCAGCGATTGAAGCGAGGGTAATGACCGCTTGTACCGAGGAGCGATGGCAACACAGTGAGGGGTAGAGTAGCCCAGGCGAGCCCGTGGCAACACTAGCTATGTTTCGGTCAGTAGACTGGGTTGTGTTAAATACGTTGTGCAAGCTGGGGGATGGCATGTTGCAGGGTGGGAGAGCAATGTATCAACGCGCATAGCCACATGTGCGCGCATTGCCCATTTCGTACCATCACGAGCTTCTTTTCGATGTGCATGGTACGGCATAGGCAATGAATATGCGTACGTGTGCTCATTGCTTCTGTCATCTCAGACACGTTCCATCTGGAGTACACGCTTGGCCGATATTGCCAAGTTTGTCAATCCCGAATTTCATCCATCGAGCTGCATGCGGCAAGTCCTGCCACCGTGCCAGCTCAGCATTCTGGATGGTGTTTTCGTTTTTAGGCGCAAGGGATGCCGTCACACGTGACTCCTTTCGCACTCACTTCTCGCGGAGTTCTCGTGGAGCTCATGGAGCTCTTTGGGGCCGTCTTGACGCCGTCTCCGGCTCCTGCAGGGCAATCATGGGGGTCCTTGGGCGCAAGCTTTGGGCCCTCGTGGGACGTCATTATTTTTTATTACATCGACCCCCCGAGGTCTGAACCTCCCGATGACCGGATTTCATCCCGAGTCGTTATTTGACACTCCCGAGGCCCGGTAAGGGCCCCGAGGGGCCTAAAATAGCGAAAAACCTCCCGTCGAGTTTTTTTCATTACTCGAGGGGGTCTGGGTATCTAGGGGCCCTCCTTGGCCGTCTGGGAGCTCTCCCGGGGTTGTCGAGGGGCTGTCCTTTGGCCGCCGAAGACCTCTCTATAGGGCCGTCCAGGGACCATCGAGGCCGTCGGGGGCCCATATAACATTGGAGACCGCCGGGGCTGCCCTGGGCCGACGGAAGCCCGGACATGCGAGAACGCGACAACCTGCCAACACACCAAAAGAGCTCCTGTCCTCCTCCTCCTCCTCCTCCTCCCTCCTCCCTCCACCTCCTCCTCCTCCTCCTCCTTCTCCTCCTCCTCCCTCCTCCCTCCTCCCTCCTCCCTCCTCCCTCCTCCCAACACACCGGCGGAGCATGCATGATGCGGCCGCCCCCCGGCCCCGCTGGGGAGCCGCTCGGAGGCCCCGCCCTCGTGTGGATTGCCGCGGGGGCCTCCTGGCCCGCACGGCGAGCGGCGTGAGCAGGGAGCGCCCACGTTTCAGCATGGGGCTCGGTCGTTCCGTAGGCGTGCATGCGTTGTTGATCGTTCCTCCTCCTCCTCCTCCTCCCCTCCTCCTCCCCCTCCTCCTCCCCCTCCCCCTCCTCCTCCTCCTCCTCCTCCTCCTCCTCCTCCTCCTCCTCCCCCTCCTATTCCTATTCCTATTCCTATTCCTATTCCTACTCCCATTCCTATTCCTACTCCTACTCCTACTCCTATTCCTATTCCTATTCCTCCTCCTCCTCCCCCTCCTCCTCGAGGAACAGACAACTGCATGAGCACAGGCTGCCGGAGGTCCGCGCAGATCTCCGGGGCGGGTCCTATCTATCGTTCCTTATGCGCTGATCCCTGGAAAGAAGTTCCTCGTTCCTCGTTTGCCGTTCCTCAGGTCAGGCCGGCGACTGTATGTGGATGGCCATAGGAGGCAATGTTGGTGGCCGTGGTGGCTTGTCTGGGCCGTCTCGGCAGCCATCTCGAGCATCCTCGACGCTTGGGAGAGCACCAGGGAGGCGGCGGGCCGTCCAGGCAGCCTCGGGAGGGGGGGGCGAGGCACGCAACTGGAGCAGAAGGAGGAGGAGGAGGAGGAGGAGGAGGAGATGCACGCAACTGGATGCGAGTAGAAGAGGGGGGCGTCTTGGAATACGGCAGAAAACCTACCAGGCAGCACGTGGCATTCTGCCACGCGCCGGCGTGCCAGGGGACACGGCCGCGGATCTGTATGTGGTCCGCGCGAGAGGAATTCGCCACATGGGCTCGCTTACCCCCCATGCGGGTGTCTGTGGCCGCGGAGACGTTTGAGGGGAAGCGCCTCGGGCGTGTGCTGCTTTTACGATGCAGTCTGTTCATGCTCAAGGGCGCTCTGCCCTGCGGCTTTGGATACCGCACTCTCTTCTTTGCGGCAAGCAAGTGCCACAACACGCAGCATACCTAGGCATGTCCACACAACCCTCTTCCCCTGCCTTCTCCCCGGGGGTCAGGGACATCATGCCACTCAAGGTTCACGTCGATGTCGCAGGCCGCATAGCCGTCTCCACTCCGACGACCACGGCCGCGGCATCGCCTGTGCGCGTGGTTGAAGGCGCGGGCAGCGGCTCGGACTCCGACCAGTCCGACACCGACGGCACACCGCAGCCCTGGGCCATCGGTCCCCCCCCGGGGCTCGACGTCGACAAAGGTTCGCTCGCCCCTGCCAAGCGCACGCCCCTTCGCAGCCAGGCCGCCCTGTACCAGCCCCTCCGCAGCCTTGCCGAGGCGTTCGTCCCCAAAGGATCCGCACCGGGGGCTCCATGGAGGGAGGAGGCGAAGACCACGGTGATGATGAATAACGTTCCCCTCTCCTACACGTGCGACTCGCTGATCGATCTGCTGGAGTCCAAGGGATTCTCGAAGTGGTTTGATCCATGGGCGTACGCCGCACCGCCGACCGGCCCCTTGGGAGCCCTGGGGGTGTTTGTTCCTGGGGGGCGTGGTCGAAGGAGCGCCCCGGCGCCGCGCGCCCATGTGCAACAACTGTTGTCAAAAGGAGTTCTGGCCGGGACCCCGCTCCGATCCAAGTCGGCCCGTCTGGGTTTCTGGGAGGGCTCTGCTGGAATGGCACCAATCTCCTACGCCGAAGAAGCTCATTGAGGTCGGCGGATTTTGTCTACCTCCCGATCAATTTCGACCAGATGCTCGGCGTCGGCTATCCAGCTGCCTGCGGCAAATCCCACCACGGTGCGAGCGCTTCAGCGCAGCAGGGCGGAGGTTGCGTTGCATGTTTGGTTCAGTTCAGTGCCTTGTCTGGACTGGCGCGGGTCCAGCCTCGGTTTCCTCGTCCTTCCTTCTCCTGCTCCTTCTTACATGATTCTAACTGTTATGTTTCGTTGTATCTTCCTTCTTCCGTCATCCTCCATTGTGAAGTTACTGGGATCGTATTTTGGGCCTGTTGGGGCCTCTTGAGGCTCCCTCGGGGGCTCTCTGTCCTATTAGGGGCCCGTCAAGGGGCTGTCGGGAACGTCGGGGCCGTCTTGGGCGCATTGATTGCACTGAGCTCCCCCGGAGAGCCTCGGTTGGGCGGGACTTGGGGCTGTCTCGAGCATTCTTGGGCCATCCTAGGGGCTTCTCGGGCAGTCTGGTAATGGTTGAGACCGGCCCTGCAGTAGAACCAGTGCAGGAGCCCTACCACACAAGATTAGAGCACGCCCCAACTGACCAAAGGCATGGTGGCGGATGCCTTTGTGAATCTTACTACTCCAGAGAAGGCGGAAGAGTTCATTCTTGCGTTTGAGGGCTTTGATGGCTGGGCATCGTCATTCTCTAAAACGGCGTGTGCTATACGTTGGAGCCATTGCCAGGGCCTCAGTGAGAACATCGCCCGCTATCGAAACAGCCCCTTGATGAGCGAGGAAGTGCCAGCGTTCTACAAGCCAGTCCTTTTTGAAGATGGCGTGCGGATCCCGTTCCCCAAGCCTACGAAGCAGTTGCGCACATTAAGGCGCCGCAAGGCCAAGGTACAGGATGAAGATGATGCAACGGATATGGTGAAGGTGCAGGAGGATTGAACGGACACTGTCACATATGTCTGTATAACGAACCCGATGATCTTTTGCTTCTTCTCGATGCGTTCGTACACGTCTTATGCATGTCCTCCATGCTCCATTTACTTTTAAGAGTGTGAATCCCACTTGTAGGACCGCCTCGTATGTCCTCCAAGGCCTCAAGCGTCCTTGTGAGCGAGGTCAGGTGAGGGTCTTGTACTTCGACCAAGCGGTCCAGCAGATTGTGCGGCAGCTACCGCGCTGAGAGCTGCCGATGGCCGTGGCATCCTGAGATTCATCGTCACAGGTCCCCAGTCGCCGTGCTCGTCGTCGTGTTCGTCTTCTCCTGCCGTCATGCTGCTGAGGTCCCTCGTCGTCCTCATCCTGCGGGCTCCTGGCGCCCTGGCTTCTCATACACATCTCAATGGAGGATGACGATTCATAAATGACTGGGGGTCGTGTTCACGCGGCGACGCCCGGGATGACGATTTGAAGAAACCGGCCGCGGGCCAGAAAACTGTTATTTCAATCGATCTCCTCCAGTCAGAAAATTGTGCAGAAATAGCAGGAAGCTATTTTTTAAAATCGTTCTCTCCCATTTTTTCAATTGCTCGTCATCCCGCATTAATCCTGTTCCCCGGTTCCTGCGGCCCCCTCGCTCTGCCGCTCCGCCTCCCGCCCGCCCCCTCCCCGCTTGCGCCTGCTCGTCCCGCCCCCTCCTTTGCGTTTCCTTCACCCCTCCTCCTCTTCGGCCCCCATCCCTCTGCAGCCTCCCCCTCCTCGTACGCTCCACGTCTGGGCGTCGTGAGCAGAAGCACGACGGTTTTTCTCTGCGGTGTCTTGGAGCGCTGAGGGGCCGAGGCCGTACGAAGGCTGACATCGCCCCACAGCTGAAGTCAATCAACGAGTCTGGACCTCTTGGGGCCCTCTGGGGCCGTCTGGGGGGCCTCTTTGGCCGTCTCGAGTCCGTCTTGGGCGTGTTGGAAACGCTTGTGGGCCGCCGCCCCGAGGCCCTCCTGTGCCGTCGTGGGGCCCTCTTGGCCGTCGGCCCGTCTCGGCGCCGTCTGGCCTCGGGGAGGTCGTGCAGCAGCACGCGGCCGAGAGCCCAGGAGGCGCATGACGGGGCCCCGGGCATCCGTGCGGCTCCGGCCCGTCCGAAGAGTGCCTACAGAAGTCCACGCAAGAGGACTGAGAGGCGCACTTCCTGCCTCGAGGCAGGGTGGTGGATGTAGACGGAGCGTGTGCCCCGGGCATCGTTTTGACGAACCAGCAGCACGCACCCACACCCATGTGGGGGATCGGAGAGGGCCATGGGTGCGTATTGTCGGATGGGGGTCCCCGCTTGAGCGGGAGTTTTCCCCAGGGTCCGACAAGCCGCACCCATACCCATGGCCAGTCCTCCTCCCAACAACCCCACTGTGGGTACGGGTGTGTGTTGTTCGTTCGTCAGTTCTGGTGCTCTGATACAGTCATCGGCCTGACCTAAGGAACGATAAATAAGGAACGAAGCCCCTTTTTTATTCCAAGGAATAACGCATAAGGAACGATAGATAACAAATAACGCATAAGGAACTGTAAATAACGCATGCAAGCCTAAGGAACGACCGAGCCCCTTTTGAAAAGCAAGTGTTCCTTATTCAAGCCGCTCACTGTATGTCTCGACGCGTACGCACGCACGGTACCCGCACTCACGCCGGGGCAGGGCCCCTTCCAGGACCGACCGCTCTCTCTCCAAGAGGCGCGGGCCGGTGCTCGCGTGTGTCGGGCTCGCGAGTTGTACCAAACGACGCGAAGATCGGGACAAAATCGGATCGGGATAACTCGAAATCTCTGAGCATCGGCGGGTGTGGAGGATGTATTGGGCGCCGCGGCCGCTCCAGAGCGTTCCGGAACGCTCTGAGAGCGCTCCGGAACGCTCTGGAGCGATTTATCCCGATCCTAGCCCTGTTTTATTGTATGGGAAAGTACCTGAGGCAGAAGGCGGCTCAGCCACGCTCGGAAGCTGGAGCGTATACATTACCAGTGGCGGGCGGTCTTTCAATCCCAGGACTTGTTTGAGGGTCGGGGACGACGTCGGGGTGGTGTGGTGTATACGTGTTTCCCCGCTTTCCTGGGGAAACAGCGAAGAACGTATACACCAGGATGCCGTATACACCAGGATCAACCTTCCTGTGCGAGATTCAGTGTGAGGTCAGACAAAGGCGTCGGTGTATAGAGCTCGGTTCCCTAACGCAGCTTCTTGCTGAGCCTGGAGGGCTGCTCTGGAGATGCCTCCTGGGATTATAAAGTGCCCCGAGACAGAAAAGCCGGCTGGGGCCACGAAGCTTCTTGCGGAGTCTGGAGGGTTTTGCGCTGGGAATGCATCCTGGGACTTTCATCTCCTCCTCATCCTCCCCCTCCCCCTCCCCCTCCTCCTCCTGCCCCTCCCCCTCATTCTCCTCCTCCTCCTTCTCCTCCTCCTCCTCCTCCACCTCCTCCTCCTGCCTCCTCCTCCTTCTCCTGCCTCCTCCTCCTCCTGCCTCCTCCTCCTCCTCCTCCTCCTCCTCCTCCTCCTCCTCCTCCTCCCGTCCTTTGGTCCATCCGTGCGGCAAGGCGGGAGGTGTTGCGGCTGCGCCGAGTTGTTGGCGGTCTGCTCTGCTTTGTGGCGCGCTGCACCTCGGCTTCTATTCTGGAGCGCGTTTCTATTGTCTCACCGTCGGCCTTCCTGAGATAGGCGTCCGCTGGGGCTCCGATGCCAGTCCGACCCATGAGTTGATGGGCCTGTCTTCCACCACCACCGCCATATGTTGGAGGGGGAGGGGGTCCTCATCCTCCTCCTCCTCTTCGTCCTCCTCCTCTTCGTCCTCCTCCTCCTCCTCATCCTCGTTCTCTACCTCCTGGCCCCCTCGAGCTTATGGTGGTGGTGGTGGTGGTGGTAAACAGTCCCGTCATGAGTGTTCGGTCTTTTCGGCCTCTTGCCCGCCTGTGCTGTTCCGCCTGCGCGGTCGCGGTGCGCCCGGCGGAGGTCGGCGGAGGGCGGAGGCACGAGTCGTGCAGGCCGAGTCGCTCCAGAGATTGACGTCGGGCCTGTCCCTTCTACAGGAGGAGTGCTCAAGACTGGCTCCAAGAAAAACAGTCTCGGGGTGCTTTTTTGTCGACCAGGGTTGACCATTTTTGCATTTGTGGGGGGGTATTTTGCAGCTTTCGTCCAGAATCCGCCCGACCTGACTCCGGGTCGTCCAGGAGCGCTCCGGAGCGGCCGCGCGCGGCGCCGCCTTGACTGTCTTCCAGGCCCGTCAGCTCCCAGAGTCTCCCCGATCGTCGCCTCGCCCGACGTCGTCCGCCGCGTGCCCTCGTCCTGACGGGGCCGTCGTGATGGGCCTGCTTTCCACCACCACTATATGTTGGAGGGGGGGGGTCCGCCTCCTCCTCCTCCTCCTCCTCCTCTTTCTTCCTCCTCCTCCTCCTCGTCCTCCACCTCCTTCCCCCCTCCAGCTTATGGTGGTGGTGGTGGAAAACAGGCCCATCACGTCGGGCAGGAGTCAGAGGAGCGAGGAGGCAAGCGGCTTCGTTACAGACTTTCCAAGCGTTCCTGCTGCTCCTCGCCGCCAGGGGTGAGTGACCGAGTACGGACGACCGAGAGCCGCCAGACACTCGTGGGGATCCTAGAACGTATCCTGAGCCAACCACATCACGTCGGTATTTCCCATCTCCTTGGGATGGTGTTCTTGTTCTTACCCTGACCGCGCCGAGGACCCATCCACTCACCTCCTTGCCTTCTCCTCCCCTCACTCAGACTCGCGATGATGATGGTGGTGCTGATGATGATGGTGGTGATGACGATTAGGAAGACGAGAATGAGGATGATGATGATGATGATCATGATGATGGTGATTGTGATGGTGAGGATGCTGTCGATGATGATGATGCTGATGATGATGCTGATGATGATAGTGATGGTGGTGATGACGATGATGATGATACTGTTGTTGTTGATGGCGATGAGGTCTGTAAGGATGACCATGCCGATAATGCTGGTGAGGATGATGATGACGAATATGATGATCATGATTATGATGATGGTGCTGATGGCGATAGAGATGAACATGATGATTATGATGCATGCTGATGATGATGCTGATGATGCTGAGGCTGATGAGCAGGATGGTTGTGTTGTTGACGGTGATAGCAAAACTGGTGGTGTTGACGATGAAGACGATGAAGACGATGATGATGAAGATGATGACGATGATGATTATGATGGTGATGGTGATGGTGATGGTGATGATGATAATGATGATAATGATGATGTCAGAGCGGAGGATGGTATTTACATTGATTGTTGATGATGCTTTGACGATGCTTTTGATGATGATGCTGCTGTTTTTGATGATGGTCATGAGGTCTGTAAGGATGATCATGCTGGTAATGCTGATGAGGACGATGATGATGATCAACATGCTGATCCTGACTATGATGATGCTGATGGCGACGGTGATGAACATGATGATGTTGCTGATGCTGATGATGCTGATGCGGATGATGGTGATGATGCTGAGGCTGATGAACAGGATGGGTTGTGTTGTTGACGGCGATGGCAACACTGGTGATGCTGACGATGAAGACGATGATGATGATGATGATGATGATGATGATGATGATGATGATGATGATGATGATGATCATGGTGATGCTGATGGTGATTATTCTGGTGGTGGTGGTCGTGATGATGATGACGCTGCTGCTGGTGAAGATGATGCTGCTGATGCTGCTGCTGATGTTGTTATTGTTGATGATGGTGATGATGATGATGATGATGATGCTTCGGATGATGATGCTGATGATTATGATGACGATGACGATGGTGATGATGATGCTGATGATGCTGATGATGATGCTGATGATGATGATGATGATGATGATGATGATGATGATGATGATGGCGGAGCAGATTTTGAGGATGTCTCGAGCGAGGCGCTTGTTTTCGCACGGCCAAGGGGGGCGCGATTGGGGTATTGCACAGGCCCGTTCGCGCCCAGATTGCGTGGATGTCTCGAGCGGTTTGCCTGCTTGCATGCTTAACATCCTCCGCTTTCGGAGCAGATCCTTAGGAAGTCTCGAGCGGTGTTCAGTGTGATGGCATAGCAGGCTTTGAGGATGTCTCGGGCGAGGCGCTGGTTTCAGCACACCCACGGGGGGGCGCCAGGGGGTACTTCACTCCTCCGTTCGCGCCCAGAGTGCGGAGATGTCTCGAGCGTTGTGTCTGTTTTCGTGCTCAGCGTCCTCCGCTTTCGGAGCAGATGTTGAGGATGTCTCGGGCGAGGCGCTGGTTTTCGCAACCCAGGAGGCCCTGATTGCGAGGATGTCTCGGGCGGTTTGCTTGTTTTGGTGGCCAAATTCGTCTGCGTTTAGAGTCGATTCTGAGGATGTCTCGGGTGAGGCGCCGGGTTTGACACCCCAAGGTGCCCAGATTGCGAGGATGTCTCAGACTCACTTACAGTCGGGGCCCTGAAGAAGGAACCCTTTTCGTTGGGGAGGGGCTCCGCGTTCCTTAAGTGTTTCGCAGCTTGCCTCAGGTTCTCCTTATGCTTTCGATCGGACATCGAAGTTTAACTTATGGAAAAAAGGGGCCTCGTTCCTTATTTTGGGTTCCTTAGGTGAAGGCCCCGACTGTATGCTCAAACTCACTCGTGCTCAGACTCACTCCCACTCCCTCTCATATTCATCATATTCCTGCTCAGACTCATTCACACTCAGATTTTCATTCAGACTCACTCACACTTAGACCCACCCACCCTCAGACACACTTGTAATCCGACTCACTCGTACTCAGACCCACTCATATTAAAATTCAGAATCATCATATTCATCTTCAGACTCGCTCACATTGAGACTTATTCGCGCTCAGAATCACTGACTCTCAGACCCATCCACCCGCATATTCACTCGTAGTCAGACTCACTCGTACTTAGACCCACTCAGACTCCGACTCGTACCCAATATACTCATACCCAGACTTACCCACACCCAGACCTACCCACATTCAGATTCACCCTCATTAAGACTCGCTCATACTCTGACTTGCGCATTCTCTGACCCACTTGTACTCAGACTCTCTCAGACCTAGACTGACTGACACTTGCACTCAACCCGTTTATACCTCAAGCCCGCGTGTATTCGAAAATCTTTGCGCCTAGACACGGCGGACAGGTCCATGCCATTAGACGTACATATTGGGAGCTCCACGCAGTGAATAATTCTCGTCCTGGGAGGCGGGACCGACGCACGCCAGCCATCGCTTGAGTTTGCCCGCCTCCTTGCCCAGGGACGACCGCGGCGGCCGCCACGACGCTCGCAGCGACGGCCACGACGGCAGGCGCGGCGACCTGGATGCTCGGCCAGCTGGCCACGTGGATCGCCACGCGCCTCTCGACCATCCCCCTGGCTCCGGGGCTGTCGGAATTGCTTACAGAAGGCACATCGAGTGAGACAATGTGCTTGCCTGCAGGTGTCCCCCCCCCGGAAGCGTCTTATCCCCCGATGGCCCCAGGGACGCACATAAGCTCTGGGACACCACCTCGGGACCCAAACGTATAGACGACGAGTGCGCCCCCAGATTTTTCGTGACCAGGTCTTTGTATCGGGCATCGGGCTGCACGTGACGAGGGCCAGCGCTGACGGTGTCGGCCAATCTCCTCTGGCTTGCCCAAACCAGAGGCTGGAGTCGGATCCTCCCTCTCCGCCCTCTGGCTCGCCCGGGCTTGGGAGATCCTCCTCCCCCCCCCCCTCCTCCTCCTCCTCCTCCTCCTCCTCCTCCTCCTCCTCCTCCTCCTCCCCCTCCTCCTCCCCCTCCTCCTCCTCCTTCTCCTCCTTCTCCCCCTCCTCCTCCTTCTCCCCCTCCTCCTCCCCTTCCATTTATGGTGGTGGTTGCGTGCTCGGCGGCCGGCTGTGGCTCGCGCGTGCCGCCCCCCTCTGGCTGCCCTGAGGGTTGGCGCTGAGCTGGCCGGGCAGCGCGCCCCCGGAGTTGCCGGGAGCCTTGGGACGGGGGTCAGTGCGAACGGGGGTCGGCCAGAGCGCCCGATCTTGCAGGATCCTGCAGGGCCTGGGTCGCATTGACCCGGGTTTGGGGGCAGGATCTTGCAGGATCTTGAGGGAACTTTCGCACTGACCCGGGCTTGGGTGCAGGATCTTGCAGGATCTTGCAGGATTCTGCAATGCCTGACTGACCCCGGTTCTGGATTGATCCGGGTCAGAAGATCCCCGCTTTGGGCGTTAGAGGGAGGGATGCGCTGTCAAGAGATCCAGGGGTTGACCTCTTCCTCCTCCGACGGAAGGCTCCTCGGACGCCGGCGAAGGTGGAACGAGGGCGGCCCTGGCCGGCGGAGTTCAAAGTTTCGCCCGGGGCGATTCTCAACATGTTGATACAGTCTGGGGGCGAGTTGCCCCACGATGTGTCAACCTTGGGCGGAAGGACCCAGAGGGCTCCTTCAAGCCCTCCTGGCGGGCTCGCTCTCACAGGGAGGAAGGTACCCATGCCACGACCCCTTCCCTCGTGATCCCCTTTTTGGGCGTCCCGGGAGGCCCTCGTCGCCACCGCTGGATTCGCCTCGTGGTCGTGGTCAGGACGCACCCCTGGAGAGGCCCAGGGAGTAGCGACATCGGCCGAGAGCCGATGACAGCGCCAAGGAACCTCGCACCTCGATTCCGAGAGAGTCGCGCCCCCCCCCTGAGCCTATCCTCCCTTCTCGCTGGGGACGACCGAAGTGGGTACGGAAAGATCAGGAGGGAAAGAAGCACACAGGCACAATCATCGTCGATTCCCAGGAAAATATGCGCAAATATGGGAAGTGGGGGGGGAGACAGGAACCCAGAAAATATGGGAAAATATGGGGAATATGTTTATTTGTGTGTATTTATTTGTGTGTCCAGGGGCCCCTTCAAAAGAAGAAGCACACGAAGACCAGACCCGCTGTCGGTGCCGCCGCGGGCCTCGTCCATTCGAGGCAGCAGGCCGCCTGCCCAACGGCGGCCGCTGTCGGTTTTGGACAACGTCTGCTGTTGGGCATCGCACGCCTTGCTCCCGTAACCCGCTTCGGGCGTCCACAGACCCAGATCCCCGACGCCACGA